TCACCTGTCTGTATTTTATTCCTCAAGCTGCTCAAGAACAAATCTGTTAGGGCGTCCTGGCAGCTCACCTGGTGGAGCTGGTACCCCGAGTAACAATAACTTACTGCAGCGGTTTGACTCCAACCTGTGGCCCTTTGCTTCTTGCCATCCCCCCTCTCTCTTTCCCTCCTCTTTCCTGTCATCCTCCAGCAGTCTCTCTCAATTCAAGGCAATAAAAGCCCCCAAAAATAGATATTTAAAAGAATGAATCTGTTGGTACGAGTGGTTCTTTCATGAGGTCCACTGTGCACTGCGCACAGCAATGCTGTGTAGATGACCTTACAGTCAGCTGCTGACGGCGTCCCGAGCTGCACTGACCTGTAGGTGATGAGCGAGTTGTCCCCAGCGTCTCTGTCGGTGGCCGCCAGCGTCAGCAGCAGCTTCCCCTTCGCTGCGTCTTTCAGCAGGAGGCTGCTGACGTAGCTGCTGGAGCTGAACTCAGGCGTGTTGTCATTGACGTCGGTGAGGCTCACTCTGATGGTGGTGACGTTCTGGTGCACAAGAGTATACATTTAAAACTTTATGATGTAATTAACCCTTTATAAGTAGCTTAATGATCTGATCCCACTGGAAGAATTTAAATGTTAAAGCTCTGGTTAACTGAGAAATGTGTGATGTTTGCTTTCCCTGTATTTGTAACTGTGTTTTTATTTCTATTTGAATTGTAACTGCTGTGCTGTCTTGGCCTGGTCGCCCTCAGGAAAGAGATTTTTAATCTCAAGGGACTTCCTGGTTAAATAAAGGTTAAATAAACAATATAAACAATATATAGTGCAGAATGTACAGGGTACTTGTTTAGAAACAACATATATGGAGGGTTGTATATGTGTGTGTGTGTAGGTATACATAAAGAGACAATATATGTGGAGGTAAAGTTTATAATTTAATTGACAAGAAGCGGAGACGTGGTAGGAATACATTTTTTTGTCGTTTATTAGGATTTATTCATTGAGTTTGTGTATACGTTTATTTGTCTTTTTGTCTTTTACATTGTTTTGCGTTCATCCTGTTTTTATCTAACATGTTTAACCTCTTATTTTCATAAAAGCACTTCTAGGGATGGTTGATGTAAATTAGCATCCCCTATAAACACTGTGACATTTGCATGAGAGTTTCCAGCCTGTCTGTGTTAACTGTCTCTGTTCCTCATAAATAAATCATAAATAAATAACCTGGAAAACATTTAGCACACAAGATTAAATTCAAATGTCTGTCAGCATCATTTGCATCATGTGTCTCACCTCTCTCTGTGGGCTGCCTTTGTCTGAGGCCGTAACCAACAGCTCATACGTGTCCGTTCTCTCCCGATCCAGAGAGCCAACAGCCAGCAGCATCCCATCCTGCAACACAACACACACATCTCAGAGCTCAACACAGGTCCACAACTAGTTCCACAATCCTCCTCCTCTCTCCTTTTTCTCTCTCTCTCGGCCTTACCTCTCTGAACCTGAAGAGCGGGTGGGGGGAGGAGAGGGAGAGGGTGACCTCTCCGTTGGGGCCGAGGTCGGGGTCTGTGGGCACGATGGTCAAAACTTCTCCTGGAGCTTCCTCCGAGTAGTCGCCCTCGGGGAACAACACGGGGTCGGGGATAGCTGGGAACTGTGGGGCGTTGTCATTGTAGTCCTGGACCGTGATGTTGAGCTGGGCTGTGGCTGTCAGACCGTCAGGGACCTGGTCCACCGCCAATACCTGAATACAGACACAGAGAACAACATGAACCTCCTTCAGGAACTTTTTATGGAGTAACTCTTTAGCTCTGGCACAGTTTATTTTGTGTTTTTGTATTTTATTAATAAAAAAGAAAACTTCATAATGTTTATAATGAAGATGTTTGGCAAAAACTATTTTCTACAACTA